CCCCAAAACCCCAAAACCCCAAAACCCCACAGAGTAATAATAGAATAAAAAATATTAGTTTGCACCTGTGTAATAAAATATCTCCACTATAATATTTATTAAAATTTATTACAATGAGAAGAAATCAAATGCAAAAGCACAATGAGATTTTAGAAACTTATAATAAACTTTCTTAAATCCTTAACAAAGAAGTTGACACAGTAATCTTACTATATTTGTTTGATGAAAATTTATTTAGATTAAAAAGGAGAAAATGGAACGATTGAATAACAATCTAAAGTATATGCATTAGCTGAGTTAAAACCAAACATAAAAACTCAGAACTGTACTTCAGCAAAAAACAGTGACAAAAGATTAAGCATTAAGCTTCTTGATGCAGAAGTAAATTCAGCTAATGAATGATGAAGAGAAACAGATGTATGAGGCTTTGACTAAACCCTCAAAGTAGAGTTCAATATCTCGAAGAGATTAGTATATGAGAACAAGCAATAGCGTGATTAGGTCTTAGCCGCTTATATACAAATAAAATCAAAATGAACCTGGAGGTAGTTGAAGGAAATCAGTATACCAAGACTAGCTTGCATTAAAAAGTTTAAACAATGCATTAAGAAATTAAAATGAAAGTGGAAAAGGAAGTAAACTTGAACGAAATCTTAGAAATTTTACATCTCGCACTCATACAGCAAATACAAGTGTAAATAGGATTCATAGAAAAATGGTTCTAAGTTAAACAAATCATTTCAAAATTAACGTTGACAGTTCAGCAGATTTGCAAATCAATATCTCTCATGATAATCTGAATCTCTCAGGAACCTAGGAATAACTCAGAGCCTCTCCGATGCTTAGATTTAACAATCTAAAAAAAACAAGGCCAGTAACAGCTAAAACAAGTCCTCAAAATATAAAGCATATGCAAGGGAATTTTCTTCACTAAGATATCTCAGACATTAACATTAGGACAGGTCTATTCAACGATAATAATAACTTAAATTTCTTAGGAATCCCCTCTCAAATTAATATTTCTCAATCAAGGGAAAGTTTATCTTAGAATTAAAACCCTTCATCTTCTAGATTTAGAAATAAAAAGAGTTAATTTTCTAGGAGTTAAGCTATTAATTTTAATGATATAGTAAAGAGAAATAAAGCTGTTTTCTACTAAAATAGTAACTTGGAAAGTTCAGCCATTCTTTTAGATTAGCAGTCAAATATGAATATGAGTTAGACTTTGTTCCACAAAAAGCCTATCAGCAATGATACCAGATCTAATTTCTCTATTAGTCCTTCAAAGTTTAAAATACAGTAAGTTAAAATTTAATGTAATTATGTACTAAATATAGAAAGAACGTTCATGAATTGACCTAATCCCTAGATGAAGATTAAATTAAATAAATATTTGAGGCTAAGCTGAAAGATAATCATCTACCTTATCAAGATAAGTCCTTTAATCACTTCTATTATAACTGTATGTAAAACTGTATAAATGGGAAAATACTACTCCACGATTAATATCTAGGAGAGTAATCAGCATATACTTTATAGAAGATAATGATATAAAATCAAATGGTTTCATTTTATAACCTAGCTCGAAATAAGTTTTAAGATAATGGTATTACTATAATATTTGAAGCCATAATAAGATAGAATCATATCACTAGATTGAATTTAAGCAATAATTCAATAACCCATAAGGGATGCAAGGTTTTATTTGAAAAATTGCAGTAAAATGAATCAATAATTTAGCTGGATTTAGATTCCAACGAGGGTCCTAATAAAAACATATTGGGCCCAAAAGGTGCATTTGGAATAAAAGACTATTTTATAAAAAAGGGTAATATGTGCACACTAAATTACTTATATTTGAAGGGCTGTAGTTTAGCTAATTAGGGAATAATAACGTTAAGCGAGGGACTTAGATGTAATCATAGTCTAATAGGCATAAATGTCAGAGGAAACTTATTTGATAAAAAAGGTCTAATAAATCTTATAAGAAGAGCCCCAAGGACATTAAAGGAGCTAGATATAAGTGATAACGATATAAAAGATAAAGGAATTACTGCTTTTGCTGAAATATTATATAATCATAATCATGGAAATGTTGGTTCAGATTCTGATGATGAAGTAAGTAAAGATATATTTAGCAAGGAAAATACCCAAAGACTCAAATCTATTAAAATTCTAGATGATGAATTTGATCCTGATAATCTTCCCTCTTTATCTTACTTGAACATATCTAAATGTGGAATTTCTTGTAAGACTGGTAAATTATAAATATTTTATAGGGAGAGGATTAGATGCTTTAACAACGAGGCTTATGATGGATGGGTCATTAAGAACATTGATATTAGATCAAAACAACTTCGAAGGAAAAGGCTTTTTATTTTTCGAAAGATTCCTGGTGTTCAATAACTCTATCGAGAAACTATCGATGAATGAATGCCATGTCAATGATGAACTAGCTATATAAATGGGTAAGGGGCTTCTGAAAAATATAAGATTGAAGGAGCTATATCTTTCTCATAATAATATTGAGGTAAATTTATCATATTTAATAATTAGGCAGCTGGTTCTGTGGAGATCGCAAAAGCATTAAGACTAAATATTCAAATTTAGATAAAAATTCTTGATCTCTCCTCTAATAGGTTGAAAGTAATTTGCATTTTTTAAACATATTATGATAGGATATAAGTGCAAAAGAACTATCAAGATCAATAAAGTTGAATTAGTCCTTAGAAAACTTGAAAATAAAATAAAACGACATATTTCTCGAGGGAGGTTAATACCTTGCCCACTCAATGCTTGATAATAGATAAATTAAAACAATTTAAGCTGAGAACAATGTGTTCTATATTAAGTATGTAGATAAGATGAAGGAATACTCTAAAAGAAACTACTAAACTTTTTTAGAATAATAATTCCCTCGTTTTATTGAAGAAAAAGAGAGACTCTCTAAGATTAAGGCTTAAAAGGGTGTCTTTCACATGCTTAAGACAGAAGTAGAAAAAGAGGATAGAAAAATGCATGATAAACTTAAGAAAACTTTAAAGGAATTTGAGGAATTTAAAAAATACGAGTAGACAAGATATCAATATCTTTTGGAAAAAGCATAAAGCATGAAGGACCTAGTTAAGCAAAAGCAAAAAGACTATGTAAAAGCCTGCGACAGAGAAAAGTATTTAGAAATTCACGGGGAGAAGCAAATCAGAGAATTAATTCATTTCTCTGATAATTTTGAAAAAGACAAGGATTACATTCAAGATGATATTAATTATCGAAAAGGAAAAGCCAGAGAAAAGAGATCATACTATAATGATGAAATTAGATAGCTGAATAGGACCTTAAATGAATAATAAGAAAAATTAAATAGAGCATTTTTAGCTTGTAGGGCCTAGGAAAATGAGCTAGCTTCATTCATTAAAAAGAATCAATATAGAAAATAAAGTACAGTCAGAATAGATGGAGCGAGATCATCAGATGATTCTGGCGCAGCTTTCAAAAGATCTCCTACAAAGAGAGGTTTATCATCTAAGACTATTTCCAGAAGGAGTTCTTAGATTAGTAATGGAATGAATTAAGACATGAATGATATGATGAAAACTTAAGATATCAATGACTAATCTGATTTTAATGCTATTAATGAGCAATAAAAAAAGAAAAAGAAAAAGGGGAAATCAAGAAACAGAAAAAAGAAAAATAACGATCATACAATTGATAGCAGAGGAGATATGTCAAGTAGCAAATAATCAAAGTCATTCTTTAAATCTCCGATATAAAATAAATGAAAGCATTGAATTTTGAATCATTGATAGCATTGATTGATGTTTAAATGAATAATTTAATACTCGTTAACTTAATTTAATAATTAATTATACAAAGAATATTAATAATGGAGTAAATGAATATGATGGCTATGATGGGTTAATCAAGATAAAGAGTTTCTGATCCTCCTAAGTAGTTTAAATTTTCATTGGATGAAATGAAAGATAAAGGAGTGGAAGTTTCATTTGATGCAGTTGTACAGAGATTTAGCGAGAAACTACTTATTGTTATTACAGACTCTTAAAAATTTGGAAATGTGATATCAGCAAGCTATTAAAGATTAGATGAACAAGACTAAATGATGAATATGGATCCTGATTTGAATGAAGATTTAGATCATTAAGAGGATAATGAAGATTTTAAAGTTGAATATAGTGGTCATCTGTTGCTAGGTGATAGAGAAATTTAGAAATGGTTAGAGTTATTTGCTTAGAACTTGCTGAAATGTTTGTTAGAGCTTTCTAGTTACAGAGATATCTAATCTATAGTTTTGACTTTGCAGTTTAGTAGTCTGAGAAAGATTGACAAAAAGATATAGTTATAACTACAGAAATTGATGATTGATAAAATAAAGTCGCATTTGAATCAGTGAAATCAAAGATATTGATATTTATTGGAAATTCGTTATGATAATTAAACTTGGTTAATATATAGATTAATTGAATAAATGTTAAAGTTAAACATTCAATTAAGGGGTTTTGGGGTTTTGGGGTTTTGGGG